AGTAGTTTCACAACTTGTAATATTTTAAAATTTTTGTGAAAAGTACTTTTACCTATCCTGAAAGTAAGTAATATATTAAGTACTTCAATCATGCTTTACAATAAGTAAAGAAAGGATGTTTTCTGCCCAACACAGAAAAACCGTGATGTACAGTCTACACTATTACGGGGTCAAATTAATTTGAAATGTTCTACGTAGATTATACAGTTCCTGCAGGAGTTAAAGGTCAAGATGCCGCTTTCCATTTTCCTGAAGTAACAGCGGTTCCAACGAAAGTGGCAGGTATTGTAATTTGTTGTTGTGAAACTTAAGTTCTAAAAAAAAATGTTTTGTAGAACTTCTTCTGGTAGAGGAATAGAAGCAGACGGAATTGCCCCATTAAAAGATGAAAAAGTACTGCATCCAGTGAAAACATATGACGGGAAAAGAAGAATTGTTTCAACTGCAGGTAGTTATGCAGATAACAGTTTCAAATATCCAAAACATATATAATTATTTGTTATAGAAAGTACACTCACAATGGACAATACAGAAGCTAGTATTTCTGCAGTTTCTGAATCGTTAGCACCCCCTGTAGAAGCAGGAAGCAGTACTAAATTAGGTAAAGAACAATTTCTTTGTTCATACAAATATACCTGTATTAGTATCTATATTTTAATTAATTGATGTTTGCTATTTACTCGTATATTGTGCTAATTATATTTATTACTGCATTTATACTTTGTTATTAAATTTGTTAATTTTATTTTTGTTTTTTTTTTCAATTTCCATTTAAAACAAAAAAAAATTAAATTTGGTGTAATTTTGAAATGCGCGCCTTTGGTTACGCTTCATAGTTTGATGTATAGATGGCAGTGAAATTCTTTGCCAATACCATTTATATATATATTCCAAGTATTGTCTACTAATGTGGGGTAAACTTAGATGTCACTACTATCGTCCATATCTCGAGAGTTTTACATCTATTTACCTAGTCTAGGTAGACTAGTCACGACCGACCGTATCTCAATGGAAACTTACAGTCCCCACTCGAATGTTTCCGAATACGTTTGTACAGTTTAGGTTTCGTTCATTCGACGTGATACCCGCTCAATTGGTTTTTTTTTATATAATGTACGTAGAATTGTTTCGATCATGGGAAAATATACATATGATTAGGTTTCTTTTTTATGTTAGGTTATTTGATAGATTACTCGGCGGCTATTTATTCGCCATTTTCGTGGGAAATTACACCTTAACAAAATGTAAGTGTAAGTTAGATTCAGGTGGGAAACAATTATCTCCCTCCCTTCCCTCCGAAATATTCGATAAAATTTTGGGTAGCACCATCGCTGAGCTTGCACGTCACCAATGCATGTAGGTACATCTCCAAACAGCTTGCCGTATTATTGCCTGTTTCATATATTATAGACCACCGCATATTTTTTTAACGTTCGAAAACTATGCTTCATTATCATTTCAGCGCCCAACATATATGTATATATATATTACGTGCCACCCTTCCCCTAGAAATATTCGATAAAATTTTGGTTAGCACCATCGCTGAGCTTGCATACGACCTAATTAGGTTATTTCAGCGCCCAAGATATACATATATATGTATATATATATAGAGTCCGTACTTTAGGCAAGGCGACACTAAAAACCGCAAGACTCCGCACCTTTTGCGCAGGCGCGAAATTGACTCCTGTCAAGAATGTCTATGAGAATCGTCTTGCCCCCGTTTTTCATATTTTTAAATCGTTCTAACCTCTAACTACATTTTTAACCGTCAATTGAATTCATGGTTAATCGTGTATGCTGATTTATTTCATTCGTTTTTGGATTTCCTTCATCTGCAGAATTGTGCACATGCAACAGTGTTTAATCTATGC